ATAGCAACTGAGCAAACACTTTAACTTGGGGGGTTGCCAACACTCATTATTTTATTGGTGATGAGTTTAAGCACTAATATTTCTTTAATTAAGAGAAAAAGGTGATCTCTAACCTAAATGAAATGAATCTGGAGTTACTGTCACAGGCGATGTTGGAGACTCAATGGCAAGCCTTCCCTCAGTCTCTAGTTCATTCACTGCAAGAACAAAACAAGATAATAATAACCGTTGTTACAAATGGTTTGTTTAAGTTATTTTACAATTGCAGTCAAGATCTGGAGATAAAGCTAAAGTATCAGACAGGCTTTCTGACATGTAATCACGTGCAATCACCTCACATCACAGTGATAAACTTTATAATCCTATACCCTTAGAGATTCTGACTTCAAATTAGCTGGCGGTTCCCTTGCCACAAGCCAATTCAGCTTCTGCTATAGCAGAGCTGTTCTGGGAACATTTGTCCTCTGATATAAGACAAGCAAAATCTTTGATCAGATTTTGGCGACAAAAAATACTTTGTGCAAAAGGGAGAAAACCAAGGAAAAAAAATGACAGAGGCCCCGAATGCAAGGCATGGGTGGTGGGAGGTTTGGATGCCTCTGTCTCCCCCGCCTCCCACCTCCCTCCCCCAATCCTGTTAAGCATTCAAGTAAGTAATCATCAACCAGCTGATTTTCCTCACAATGTGACAACAATTAAATTCTCCAACCTGCAGGGTACAAACAATTTTTGTTATAATGATATAGAGAAAACCACTTTTTATTTCGTGAAAGCAAACTATGACATCGATCGGCATAGGAAGGGTGTGGGGTAATGGAATTCGCTTTGGAATTTTTACACAACTAATCGATCGAAGGACAAGGTACCGGTAAGTCAACATCACAAAGAACTTTCCAAAAAACTACTGGAAAAATAGAAAAAAAAAATAAAAATACAACCCATATGCACGAATTACTCAATCATAAACCAAAACTGAAACGGTTTACAACAGACAGCAACGGTCAATTTACCTGCAAGGAGAATTGCATGTGTACGATCACAGATCGTGAGTGACTCGATCCGGCGATCGCATGAGAGTATTTATCGATACGACTACTTCTCATAGTACATTACCTTCTTGTCCTTTTTTTCTCCGCGTTAAAGTCCCAACCCAGCCAAGCTTGCCGGCCTCCTTCTTGTTCAAAGTGCCAGTTGGCGAACTTGGAGGATTACCAGACGCCATGTTTGTATGTCAAAAAACTGGTTGATTCAGTTTGGAATAACAGCTGTTTTTATTGGCTAATGTGAAGTGGACCAATAGTGATATTTGTTATATTGGAGAAACAGTGGGCACAGGCATACCACTTCCTTCGCACAAACCCAATAATTTGTGATGGGAAATTTGCGGGAAAAAGGGAAGAATTGCCTTTTTTAATCCAGTTAACAGTACAACATCATCTCTCCTGTGAAAACAAAAGAAATGTACTGCGACTTTTTTCTTATACGTCGGGTTTGACGCAGGAAAATGAACGACAATTTCTTTACTGAGGCCCTCTTTGACTTAGGAGGGGTACGTTTGTCCTTTGTCTGAATTTCAAATCCTTCTGTTTCGGATCGCGTATTGAAAATAAACCCGTGTCCGTATCGGTTTTTGTTACTGTTTTTGCTCCTTTCTTCCTTGCTGTCACACTTTCAACCCATCTCTGTGTCTTTTGTCGCCACTTCAGTTGTCTTATGTGGACCTTTTTTTTTTAGACTATGATTTTGCCAACTTTTTCTGAGATTGTCGGAATTTTTTTTTTTTTTTGAAGACGGCTTTTCGAAGATTCCCGAAGAAGTCCGAAGTCTTCCGAAGTCCGAAGTCTCCTCTAGTGATATACAAAAAATATAAATTTGTATTTATTCGTTTTACACAAAAAAATATTTTTGGTAATTGTTTCAAAAAAAAACTCAAGCAATCAGGCGTGAAAATAAAACGGCGTGAATCGAAGGCAGGCGTGAGGTGCAACGGGACTAACGTCCCATGCATCAATAAACCACATAGTTTTTTTTGATTTTGCGGAATACCCACCAGTTTGTCTCAGGGGGGCGCACACCGCCCTCCCCTATTTTTTGACCCCTAACATGGCCTTTAAAAGTATTTTGACATTCTCAAGAATAATCTTCGAAGTTGAACTGTTTGAGCTGCGTTATCCCGAGCCTGGTTATAACCATTTTCTCCTTTTTTGGTTTGTTTTGTTTTGCTAGTGTGTAATCAGTCGGTCATTTTTCACTCTCAAAATGGGAGGGTCATCGTTTATTTAATAATTTAGCTAAAGGGCGTGTGTGCTGGTCTCTTTTGCAGCCGTGAGGAGCGCTGCATGATGACACTAAAAACACCTGTGTAGCAGACTATGCTAGAGCCTGTAAAGGAAAGAGAAAATTATTCCATTGGCTACACAGTGACTTAATAATTGATGACAGATTTGCCGAGCCTATGGTTACTTCAATTGTGATATTGTCGAGAATCAGCAAACTTATCCAAAGAAAACCTTTAAGTTTTATATCGCAAGCTTTCACGATATAAACGTTAAAATCATGGGTTAAATCTGTCTTTAAGAATCTCCATTTCTGCACACTCCTTGAGCCCACATTTTTCAGAGGGTCGTTTGGGTGTGGCACCCCGTAGGCGTAATGGCCCCTATTTTTTGATCACCTTTACACACTAGGGATAGGGTATATAACTGCCATATGGGCTATAAAATAGGGCCGCTCATTTTTATGGTTTTCAAGCAGTTTGGTTGAGGACAGGGTATATAAATCAGAACTTTTGTGTCTAGAATAGGGTATCATTTTTCAGGAAACTGATCAGTTGGTTGAAGATTTTATCTAGAGTAGGGAAACAGTTACTCTAGGATAGGGGGGATTTGGGGAGATGAACTAGCTCTGGTATAAGTTAAGGGTTCTAGGGTCCCAACACCACATCCCCACAGGCCAGAAATTTCTGAAGTACCCCTCCTGGGCCTTTACACTGTCCACCCACTTGGAAAACCTGCAGTTCTGGTAAATCTGTTGTTTCTTTAAACCTGATATCATTAGTCAGCATCAATTCAACTCATTACTTTTATTGAATTTGAAATATACATCATAAGATCACTTCTGAATAATCTAAAACCATTGGGTATTTATGTATTTTTTTTTCCTGATGGTTGGATATTCATTATTACAATACATGTATCATGCAAATCAAAATGTTTTATTAACTATACAGTGCTTAACAAATTTACATCAATCTTTTTCATTATATAAAATGGCAGAACTTTTTGGGCCATTTACACATTGCATGAGACTTATTAAAAATTTATCTAATGTAGATCTGAACAAAGCTAACCTACATTTAAAATTTTAATAATTTTAAGCATGTAGCAATACAATAAGATACGAGCTACTATTTGTACCATAGTGAGTAGAGGAGACTGGTTATGGAAGGCAGCAAACATAAAAAATGTAAACAGCAGTGCTGTAGGTTATGTTGGAAGCTCCCGACATTCCACAATCCTTTGTTTTTCGGCTCTTAAATTGTGACGGAATAACTTTATGCGATGTTTTTCTTGGTCACTAAGATCAAAATGATTAAGAATTGTGCTGGTGAACATTGTTGAGCACCTTCAACTGTCCACAAAAATATATAACAGAGGAAGGGCTTCATATCCATTCCACTCTATTAACTATGCTTGTAACTATTGATCAATGGAATCACTGTTATGGACCATCACAATGCCGTGTTGAAGGAGTGTCTGTATGCCCCACAGAGAGTCTGACGTACAAAATGAATGAAAAGGAAAGAAATCAACTATAGCTATTTATCCATCACACTGGGTAGACTAATAGCAACTCCCGTATTAAAGAGAAAGGGATGCTTGAATTACACCCTTAAAGGATGGGTGTGACTCAGTCTTTATTTGACCCTTAAAGAAGACCATACTCCAGCAGAGCATGATAGCATAAGTTTTTTATTAATTTTCCATAAATCCTCTATTAAGCACCCCCATGGGTAAGGGGGGGGGGGAGGGTTAAGAACAATCTATTCCAAATATCAGGTTTGAATGGGGAGTAAATAGAGTGGGAGCTTATCTGAGAGGGGGAGGGGGTATCTAATTGTGTTAAGATGATGATATCAAATCTCCAAAGTGGAAAAGTTCAGGTACATGAAGTTGGAGGTCATGCTTCTGAAGATACAAAAATAAATCTTAACTTCCCGCACATGAAATAATTATACCATACAGAATCAGTCCACAAGAAGTGTTACACTCATGATTGATAAGTCTATCATATAAGTGGGGAGGGGAGGGGGCTTAATAACTTTCTTCCCCTGAAATGGGGGGATTATTTGAGAGGATAGGAGCTTAATAGAGGATTTATGCTATGTAGATACTGCTTTACTCAAAATTCTAACTGATGCTTTTATGGGTAAAAATATTGGTCTTCTATCCTGCAACACCCTAAGTGAGACCAATACCCCTATACAAGATAATGACTGCATCACCCAGTCACTTTCATATAGAAGTTGTCCCTCCATCTGGCTCAGGCTATTATGGGAGAGTTTTCTTTTGTTTTCGTCCAACAAATTAACCAGTAGTTGCTTTTGTTGTCTTCAAAGCCACATGAAGGATTCTCCAGTCTACATACAAGTCAGAATCAAGTTGTTCTGGCCAGAGTTGAATCACAGTTGACGATCAAACAACCAGTATTCCAAATCTCCTAAGATCTTTTGAGGGTATGGATACACCCCGGCCAATTTGAAGCCATATTTCTTATACAGTCCAATCGCTGGTAACTGTGCACTCGTGGTCGACAAAACAATTTTTGAAAGTTTGCACTGCTCAGCATGTCTAAGAACCTGTTCCAGAAGCTTTCTTCCAACTCCCATTTTCCGACATTTCCCTGACACAGACATCCTCTGCAACTCAGCAACTCCTGGCTTTTGTTTTTCATCAACAAGAAGTCCCACCATCCCAACAACTTTGCCATTTAATTCAGCTACCCACATGTGGCAGCCATCATTACACATGTATGTCTTGTCGATGTCAGCCAAATCTGTTCTTAGACAATACTTGATGAACTTCCAGCACTCGTAGTAAATATCCACGTACAAAAGTGCTATCAGCACCAGTGAAATTGACAGGCTGAGAATTAAGATCCACAAGGACCACTTTACAGATGCCAATATGGCAAAAATGGTTGTTATGGCAACATACCACAAGTATCTTGGAAAAACAACACGGTTAACAAGATTGATGAGCTGTTGCATGCCCTCTGTAAATATCTCTCGGCATTCATGGTAATCTGTTGCCTGGTTATATGAACGGATCTGCACTCCTTCCATAGCGGTACCCTTTTTCATAGCAGACATTATGGTGGTATCACTAATGGAGAACATATCCTGTTGAGATTGACAAAATTAATATGAGCTAGAGAATGAATCATTTATAGATGCCCGACTTTTTTCAAAATCCCTGTTTTGGCATCCTACAAAGATTAACTGGTTGCCAAACACAAAACATTGCTTGCCAGAAATTGAATCCCTTTTAACAGCTGTTAAATTAAAATGCACCATTTACATATTAAAAACAGGAATAAACCAGGAAGAGTTTTCACGTCTTTTTTACAGCCATCGCAAGATGCATCTGTTGGCCTTTTATGGCCTTTCACAGACTGAAATGAAAGATTTCCTTGCCCTTTCAAATACTTCAACCTGTGAAAAACGTCACAGTACCCTGTTTGGGTGGGCACAGCCTCCCCATATAGGCTATTATAGGGAGTACCCCTCCCCCCCGCTAGGAGGTAGCCAAATTATAGCTTGCAGTTTTTATGATCCCCCAAATTTTTTTCTACTTGACATGAGGGAGAATCCCAGGCTGGTACTCTGGATTTCAAGTGACGGGGATAATCGAATGGGGGCAAAAATTGACAACCCAAAAAATTCCCTGGACCAAAACTTCTGAGCCTTAAAAACTTCCAGAAAGCATTAAATGATTCAACAAGAAAAATAAAGTTTTTAAAAACCTGTTTGGTTGTACTTTATTCGCAAAACTATGCAGCTGGGCGGGGCTACACAGGCACTACCACGAATCTGCAGATTGTTTTAAAATACCCCCCAAAAATCTGTTCCTAAATTACGCAACCAAAAAAATTCTTGTTAAAAATTTCAACCCCAAAAATTTCGAAATAAACATAAAACATTTCAACCCCCCCCCCCCCAAAAACCTCCATCACTTTGAAAGCTAGAGTTCCCCCTGGGGGTGAGTGGGAAGGGAATTTGAGTAAAGGGTGACATACACCTGTGGGCTACATAATTGGCCACTCCAGAAAATACCATAACATACCATAATGCTTTTTGATTGTCGCCCCAAAGTTTTGCATAAGCATTGTCTTCAGTTTCTCTTGGGAGTTAAAATGGCCCCAAGAGAAACTGAAAACAATGCTTATGCAAAATTTTGGGGTGACAAACAAAGAACATTATGGTATGTTATGGTATTTCTGGAGTGGTCAATTGCATTATATTTGATTTAAAAACATTTCATCTCAAGTCAGTTTTTGAACATACAGCACTATAATAAAATATCAAAAGGTTTTTTTGTACTCCTATACAGTGATTAAAAAACAACCCTCTCTTTAAAAAATTATCTGAGAGTACTTGATCCCATAAGAAATTTAAAAAATGGCATATCCGACCTCGATTCGGATTGGGGTCAGTGTATGTATGTAGCAACAATAAGAATATTGTGCCAGAAACTACTCTAGCCATCGTGATTCTGCACAAAAACACTTATGAACACGTTTCAGCATGGAATGACATCTGTTTGTTTATTTTTTGACAGTTGGTCAGCTGAACGCACGAAATTGATACTTCAAAGGTATTTTGAAAATGAAATGTACCCAAGGAGATTTTAATCTCCATCACAGGTCAGCACTCCAGTAACACTACTTCACGTGTAAAACAGGCTAAATTTAAACAGCGAGAGCGCAAATTAGTTGAACTCTTAACCTCCGCCGGACTTTGGCTGGGTATAAAAACCAGCAATCGATATGGTTTTGACTTGAAAGAAATCGAAGCTTTAACGCAAAGGCACAACGTGTGGACCGATTTTTTTTGTGTTTATCCCGAAAACATATCCTTTAACCGATGACGCTGTATATCAAAAAAGTAAAACCGACTGCACTGTAATTTAGTGCCAGCTTAATACGTCACACGTGTATTCAAAAGAGTGTTGTTTTTGTTTTGATGAACATCTTCATTAAAATCAAGGAAAAGGTCACCTTAATTATACAACTTAGGTTAATGGTAGCATTTTTCTCTGTTAAACAGATCAAATTTTATGTAAAATCAGCCAAACTATATATAACTATATAGGGTTCTTCTCTAGTAACTATGTCCATTAACATTAATTCCGATTGCTTTGGTGGTCTTACAGGGGATGTCGGTTGCGATAGGCTTTTGGTAATCGTTGAGAATTACAATTATATACACTACAACTCTGATTTTCAGTTTCTTCATATCTCTTCATGGCCTGTTTTCACTATTGTAGTCAGCTGACCTAATTCAGATGCACGCACAATAAAAAGATCGATGATTCGTCAACTTAACGCTGACAAGTTCGCCATGTTCTTCGAAAACATGTACATCTTCATGTACATTACTATTACCGGTGTTGTAACACAGCTGGAAGTCACAGAGAGAGCGAACCTAATTTCTATTTGCGATAAAGCAATCCTTTCGCTTACAAATTTAAACCTAGCGATAGAACATAAAACATGCATACAGACCACAAAACGAATAAGCTTCAATCAGCTGAAACGAGCACCCTGTAAGCTTAGTTTTAGTCTGTGTAGTAACTTACCTTTTTCTTCCACAAATTATGTCAGTGATTTAGGGGTGAAAACTTGTTTGAATGAGTCGACTGCAATTCACGAAGAACCAAAGTTGAGTTTGTGACTCACAGCACAAACATAACGTGGACTGAACCGGCGTTTTCAATCCGTACACTGAGCCAAACATAACATTGAGTGATCTGATACCTGCAGTGTCACATGAACGGGCTCGATATTTGTTTACATACAGTATCTAATACCGCGCCAGACAAGACAACGTGGGCGCGAAGCCATCTACTGTTTTTTCTTGTCTGTTCATGCAAACTATGTGATAATCTGGAGTCTCCTAAAAGACAATTATAAAAGACGTTCTTTAAAAAAATTGTCTCACAATGGCTAAAATCATGTTGCTTTCTCATTTACTCGGGTATCCTGTACAGTTCTTATAAGTTTGGAAGATTGGTAGATGGAAAACGGAGCAACGGAATGGATTACCAATCTCATCCAGCATGTTGTAAGGCAAAAAAAACAATGAGTTGAGAAAAAACATGTATATTGTTTTAAAAGTGATTATGAACGGAATTCCCCCAGACATAAGGGTTTAAACGAAAACTTGTTTTGATTTCATATGCTATTCAGTGGTTACCCTGCGAGCAGTGGTTTCTCCAGGCCGGATGCTACGCTCTATTCTGGTCAGTTTTATCATTTAAGTCGGTTTGGAAGTACCGCAGGCCTATTTATACTTATGACCATGATTTTCCCTCTTTTTTGTGAAAACCGTCGATCATGGGGAAAATTTTGAAGTTTTGGAGCACGTTCGTCAGTTCATACCTCCGGTCAAAGTTAAATAAGGGCTCAAAACTAAAAATAAAGATATCCATTTCCCTGTAAAAGTATTAACCTGCCAAAGAAAACAGGTCATTTTTCATTTGAGGTAAGCTAGAGCCGAAATCCTTGAAACTTTAATCTCAGGGGCGGATCTAGGATTTTTCTTAGGAGGGGGTACACTCGTCCCTTGCTCTACTTCAACACCAATAAACCACATAGTTTTTTTTTTTTGCAGAATACCAGTTGTATTAGAAAACCGCAGGTCATCTCGGGGGGGGGGGGGTGTGCACCCCCTGCACCCTCCCCCTAGATCCGCCCCTGAATCTGTGGGAAGAGCTTTAATTTACCGAAACGCGGAGGAAGTGGAAATTTATTGAAAGAGAAGAATTTGCTATAGTTACACTGTTTATGGGTTTACTATCAGGGAATAAGATTTTCATTTAAATTTGCCCATCAAGCTAGTTACAAGAATTTTTGCTTTTGACTAAACTAATTAGCCATATTCTCACATAGGGTCGACACGGAGATTTGTCATACCAAAGAAACAAAGAGGGTTATAGTGGGCAAAAAAACACAATTATGGGTTGCCTTCCGGTCCATGTGGAGAGAGACTGGTGACAGCACAATAATGACGTCATAGTAGCACATCGCAGCGCGAAACAGAAAAAATGCCCAATCCGCAAAAATAAACAACCGCAAAAATTTCGTGCCACAAGGTACACCCACCTAGCTTGCTTTGTATCGACCATCAATTATCATTTTAATTTATTTGTTAATTTCAGTTCAAACAGTTTAATGAGACCAGTGGGTTGGGGTGGTGTCCGGTATATGGGAATGGGTTTAGGAGCGTTCATACGCTGTCAGCTGTCTGTTGTGGTAAACTTCTCGTTTTCATACAATACATAATTTCTATCTAGTCTAGGTTTTATGGCAGCTCAGTATACACCTTCTGGTGTCTAGTTTCTCAAGAAAAAAGCCATAGTTTCCTAAAGCCATGCAGTTGCAAAGTCGTAATCCATTTCCATCCTAGCGTTTGAGGGCCAAACACAGAGCTAAAAAACTATTACCTTTTATCTCAAAGTGTGTAGAATATTAAAGTAAAAAATCGTGACACAGGTTTCTTTGATGCTGCTTTATTTTACACCACAGAATTAAAACAGTGATAGCCTCTGTTGAATATTTAATTGGAAGAATATATTTGGGAAAGCATTATCCAGGTTGCTTTAACAAGTCCATCATTCCATGTGCACAGCAACTCATTACAGCCGAAATAGCGAAGTGGGAAAAGGATTAACGGTACTTATATTAAAAACGTCTGGATTAGAAGAGAAGCAGGAATCTATAAATTACATCAGTTTCGGTTAATACACCACAGGAAAAGGGTAAGATTTTTATTTTATTGAGAGATATCTCGATGTCAGTTATAGAGGTCGAACAATAAAAACGTGTCTAGAGACAGAAAAGATTTCCTTATGTCCGAAATAGCGAAAGGACGCTTCAATCACATTCAGGTCTGTACTTTTTGCCCAGGATTTGATTGCTGTCCGCATTTCCGGTGTCAACCCGGTATGGCGAGGTGCCCGAAATGACTTAACTTCAAGGATGTGTACATTTATGGCCAACTATAGCTCATTCGCCATGTTAGAAACGAGAAGGAACTGGGCCGAGTTAACGATCGCAAAGACTTCTGGGACTGTTAGCTTATGCTTATCCCAAGTCACGATCCCATAAACAATTGCGGGACGCATTTCGGCTCCAGTTCCCTTCTCGCTTCACGGTTGGTTAGCGCAAAGTTAGGGTGCAACGAATCCTGTCTTTTGGCGACAACGTGGTCTTGAGATCTTCATATCCAAAATCTTGCCCAGGAACAAGCTTGAATTTAAAGGACTTGACGAACCGCGCGATCAGCACCTTGCCTTCAAATTCGGCAAACATTTGACCAATGCAATGGCGAGGACCCAGAGAGAAGGGAAAATAAGCATAGCGGTGAAATCCCGTATCTTCTTCATCCCTCTGAGCTGAAAACCGTTCAGGATCAAATTTGTCTGGATCATTCCAATACTTGGGGTTGCGATGCAGCACATAAGGTAACGGATTGATGAGGGTACCAGCAGGAATGAAGTGACCTGCTAACTCATCATCCTTGTTGATGACACGAGAAAATGACGGCACGCTGGGGTGTAATCTTAAGGTTTCTTTCATCACAAGGCCTGTGTAATTTAGCTTGCCAAGATCCTCGTAGGTGATGAATTGACGAGCACCGAGTACATCTTCAGCCTCCTCGACCAATCTATAAAACAAATCACAAAAATAACTCAAATATCAAGTAAAAATTAGTCTCAGAAAACAGCCAACATTTCGCGACGCAACCCCGAAAAATGGCGTCCGAGAGACGAGCGTGGAAATTCCATGCTGATGACCTGTGACTACCCAGGTCTGGGTAAATGCCTCTGATTGGTCGTGCCGGATGAAAAATGTGCTTCAACCAATCAGAAGCAATCTTGGTAGTGACCTGTCATCAGTACAGAATTTCCGTCCTCGTTTCTCAGACGGCATTTCGTGAGTCCCAATCGTGGCGTCCCAAAATGTCTTCAAAACCTGATAAAAACTCCCTATTGTACGTAGATTTTCCAAGAGCAGATTGCCTACTTTGTTACTATCTCCGAAGACAAGGTGGTGTCAAAATAATACGTGATAATTCTTCATAAATAACCCATTTAAAATTTCGCTTAGTCAAGGTTCAATTTCGTGCCAAAATGACATTCAAACTGATAAATTTACCTTTCTTCGACCTCAGGATGTTTTCCAACCTCAGCTAACATGAAAGCCAGCATAGCAGAAGTTGTCTCCTGACCTGTTTGTGAAAAGAAAAAATATATATCGTATTTCAGCTTCTCTTTCAGTAATATACATTCTGTGGCCCATTTCAATCCTTTGTTTAACTTTTTAATCTCTTGGTTTCAAACTCACCTTCATAGATGACCATAGCCAAAAACAAAACAAAATATAATTTAAACCAGGAATGAAGAACTAAAGCGAAAAGTAAAGAGTTAACTGCCCTGCTACAATCACAGAACATAGGAAAAAAGACTAACTAATTTCTGACAGTATACAGGATGTTTGTCACATGAGCCTAGTTTCGTAGCTGTAGCTCGCAGTGGGTAAGTGGTAGAGTATCCGAACTTGTCACCGTCTTCAAAACAGGCAAATTTCCCTCAAACAATGTCTGCCTTATCGCGCGGCCAAACTTACAAGAATGACGTAGAATGATTTGCAAGAATGAATATAATTAACAACGTGGCGGCAAATACGAAGAATTGTCATCGTTGACAACGCCCCAATCATTTTCATTATCTTCGTTTGCTTCGCTATACATCTGTTACAGTCAAGTTCATCGCTAAGCAAAACAAATGGCGTCAAAATGCCGTCATCGCCTTTCCTTTGATCCTGTACTCGTTCCTAGTTTCTGGGACATTTTTCAAAGAGACGAGGACCAAAATAAGTTTAAAAATATTTCCATAACAAAAAAAAAACATTTCCCCGACGCTCCTTTATTTGCCGCGTATTCAGGTAAACATAGTCTCAGCTTACCAGCAATAAAGAAGGTTACAAAGTGATCCAGGAGTTCTTCATAATCCAAAACGGTGTCTTCGTCCATTGACTTCAGAATGTAGGAGAGAATATCAGTTGGGACTTCATCACCATTCAAAATCGCTTTCTTTCTCTCGTCAATGATCTTCTTTCCTGTGTCCCTTAGAAAATGAATTGCAGCTATCACAGAATTTTGATAGCCGTAGGTTGTGAATTCAATAGCATGAAGAGGATGAGCGAAGCACCAGATTGGAGCAATCAAAGACTCTTTTATGGCTGATGAAAATGGAGAATCTGGTTCATGGATTGCATTAAGATCAATTCCGAAAGCAACCTGTAAAAAAACATGCAATGTTACAGTACAACTCCATTAATGAGGGATAATGGGGTATGAAACTGTTTTCCTACTTTCCAGGGGAATAGCTACCTTTACGCATGACACACATGTGTGTACCTGATAAAAACAAAGGAACAAAAATGCAATACAGAAAAAAAATGATAATAATAATAGAAAGCACAACTCTTTAACTCTTCTTGTTTCTTTGAAAAATTTTGTCCCCAAACAAAGTGCAAATAGCGAGCTGGAGTGGAATAAAGCATGGGCAATTGGGATGACAAGAATGACTGGGAAGACTGGAGTGACAAAGATGACTGGGATAACTGGGATGACTAGGATGACAGGGATGACTGGAATGACTGGGAAGACTGGGAAGACTGGGATACTAAGACTAGGATGACTGGGATGAAAAGGATAACTGGAATGATTAGGATGACAGGGATGACTGGGATGCTTGTTTTCAAACCGAAATATTGGGCAGATTTGTTTAATTACATACTTTTTGTTTTATTCTTTTGTCTACTTCTTCATTGCCTTGCCGTAAGGATCAGTTTGCCGTTTCATATTTTTCTACAAGTTGTTATTGTACTGATCCAGGTCTACAACTGGGAGATCCAGCACCACTCGTTGGTTTGTTGCTGTGGACTTGCTGATATTTTATATATGACTGGAATGACTAAGATGACTGGGATGACTAGGATGACAAGGATGACTAAGATAACTGGGATGACTTGGATGACTAGGATGACTAAGATAACTGGGATGACTTGGATGACTAGGATGACTAAGATGACTGGGATGACTAGGATGACAAGGATGACTAAGATAACTGGGATGACTTGGATGACTAGGATGACTGGGAAGACTAGGATGACTGGGATGACTGGAAGACAGGGACGACTTGGATGACAAGGATGACTGGGAAGACTAGGATAACTGGGATGACTAACATGACTGGGGTGACTAATATGAATGAGATAACTGAGATGACTGAGATGACTGCGCTGACTGGGGTGACTGGGAAGACCAAGTTGATGAGGATGACTGGGATGACTAGGGTGACGAGAATGACTGGGATGACTAGGATTAGCAGGGTGGAAATACTCAGAACTAGAAATGCTCACAGGCTAGGAGACCATGGATATTGTGCAGGAATACACATATTTGGGAATGCAAAGCCCATTAACTGCTGGGACGTAGCTACTTGTATACACATGTATACCTGAAAAAGTCAAAGGCCACACCCCTGCTATGATACATTTTCCACAATACAATACAGGTCACAATACAAGATATGCAAGTGGAATCCAGAATTCTGGGCTTTTGAATCTAGAATTAAGCTCAAGGAATCCGGAATCCTGCTAACAATTGGCATCCGAAATCCAAGTTCCACTGGGAAGGATTCTGGATATCCAGTACCTGGAATCTGGATTCCATTGTGTGGAATCCAGAATCCAAGACTGTCATAATGCCACACATAGGGTAATCAGTAAAATTCTTTACTTAGGGTGCGTTCCTTTGCGATGAACCAGATCAGGATCAGAGATCCGAGATCACTCGGATCATCGAAGATCAAATGAACCAATGAATCCTTGTCCAGAGTGGATTCATCGGTTTATTTGATCTTCCATGATCCGAGTGATCTCGGATCACTGAACCTGATCTGGATCATCCCAAAAATGCCAGATGTTAACAGTTTTGTCTGATGTTATATCTTACGCAGCTGGTCTCTAAACCCCACAAGCAGGCTAGAGGTGGAGCAAAAATAGCTCTATAACTTACCTTGCCAATAATATCCAAAGTAATTCTGTTAAACTCGTCTGCCATTGACACCTCTGTTTTGCCATCAGCTAATTTAGCTAGCTTTGCCAAAAGGACATCACAACTCGCATTAAATTGCTCCATGAATTCCTTCAAATATTTCCTGTGAAATGCAGGATTGAGAGCGAGACGTTTCTCCTTCCATTTCTCGTGATCGGTTTCTGTGACAAGGCCTTTCCCCAAAAACCTCTCTCCGAAAATATAAGCCAGCTTATCATAAGCCCAGGAGTCTTTAGGATAATTGGATGTGATAAGCACTTTCTTGGTTAATTCAGCATCTGATATGTAAACAATAGGAATGTGAAACACCCAGAGTACCATAACAGGACCATACTCTCGACAGAGGTGGTTCAAGATTTCAGCGCCGCTGCTGTAGCCATAGGCTTTCTTTAGCCTCTCCATTTCTTTTATGTTTCCCCAGAAAAATCCATCGCGTTTAGGGCCAGGTATGTGATCAAGGGTCTTATGTTTGTGATGAAGGTAAACAACAAAGCACAAGACGAGAGTAAAAAGTGTCAGACACAGACTGATCACCAGAAAATACACAACGCCGTAAATTGCAGAAGCCATCTTGAATTCTAGACGAGTAAATAAACTTTCTCTAGGGTAGGGTGAAGTATAAATAAATAGTCGATACTTGCAAATAGAAATTGAAAGAATAATCTTTATGGGATATTTACATCGATTTTAATAATATATGCAAAATTCTGATTTAAAGGAGGAAAAAGCATATTTTTTATCAATATGAATTTATGGCAGAAGAGGAAACCAATCGACGCACCGATCTCCGGAGGGGTGATCTTGTCACTGTTCGCCCCAGCTTTTTTCGGTTGTATACCAACATGGCTGCAAAGGAAGGGTCATACCGCAAAGAAACTCTCGACAGTGTTTACAAGAAACTTGTTTGCAGAAAATCTGAAATAGATCTATTGTTGACACTTTTTGGAGACAGAGGTTCGTTTGTGTCGCCTTCGATATTCATCTGCGGTCATACAGCTACAGGGAAAACGGTTGTTGTGGAAACTTTGTTGAAAGATTTGGAGGTGAGCATGTTGTTTATTTAAAAGCGTGCGAGGCTAATAATTTGTTGTATTGACAATCGTTTAATCCTGAATGTTGGACACAGAATATACATCGTAGCTGCTATCAGAGATGCCAGCCTCTCCAGATCAAAAATCTGGAGAGTTTTCTTAAATGGCACTTAACCCTTCCTCTCCCCCCCTCCCCCCCCAAACATGGTTGTTTACCATTTATAAAAAATTCCGGAAATTTTGCTTGGGAATTTTCGTTCGGTAAGAACGATACGTGTTGTTTACCATTTGCCTAAAATTTCTGGATAATTGTCTTGCCGCGCTAGACTGGATTCTAGTTACAACATAAAACTAGTACAAAACTCAAGAAACTTGTAAATGGTATAAGCTAAAGAATTACCATTCGGAACATCCCAACCACGAAAACGGGACTAGCTTTTCAGAATTTCTGTTTTTCCTGGGAATTTTCCAGTGGGACAAACCAAAACAACATTTAATACCATTTACATCTTAACAGGAATTTCCGGGAATTTGTGGTAAATGGTAAACAACGCATGTTTTATCCCTGATACTGGCACAAGATTGACTTAGCCCCAAATTGTTTTTGCTATGAAGGTTGATCACATCTCGAAGTTTCTCTCTGACTGACACTTACACAGCTGGGCCCGGTTCCTCAAAAGATGGTTAAGTTTAACCCTGAGGATTTAAAAGCCAAATTTCAAGCACGGTTTTCTTGTCTAAGAACACGCAACTCGAGGTTATAAAGTCCCGTTGAGCCTTTACTATGAGATACAGTAATGACAACACAAAACGTTACCCTTAAGCAATGCATAGGAATGTAAAATACAAAAACAGAAGAAATTTTTAATTCCGGATTAAAACTAATCGTCCTTTCAGGAACTGGGCCCTGTAGTGTAAAAAGAATCAAATCAAGTATGATCATTTTCAGACTTTCTTTGTTGTTTTAAATTGGCAAATTTTTATATGAGATAAAATAGTTTTGACTTTTTTCTTTTGTTGATCTTGAACAGCTTCCCCATGCGTTGGTGAACTGTATAGAGAGTTTTACAGCACGTCTGATTTATGAGCACATTTTATACCAATTACAAGATTTGGATGAAGAACATGATGAGTTCGATACCCCACCCAAGTGTGACAACATGACAGACTTTTTACGCCAACTCAAGAATTCTCTATCATCAAGACAGCTCACAAGTGGAACATTTTACATTGTCCTTGATAAAGCTGACAGATTACGGGATATTGAAGCCAATGTTCTGCCGGCATTCCTGAGACTTCAAGAGCTGACACAACTTAATATCTGTGTCATCTTCATTACTCAAATTGTGTGGGAAAAATTCCAAGTTGGTACGGGATTTTATGAACCTGTTGTGGTTCATTTCCCGGATTATTCGAAGGTGGAATTACTTCAGATTATGGCCAAAGATTGTCCATCATCATATCCTGTGGAGTTCTACAAAGCCTACTGTCAACTTTTTACGAGTGTGTTCTACTCGGTGTGTAGAGATCTAAATGAACTGCGTCATTTAGTGAGTATGATAAGTATATTAAGACAAGGGACTCACTGACACCAACCTTTATGCGCATGGGGCTTATCAGCATGGCATAGCCGTCGAACCACTCATTAGAGGTCCTTTACTACATTCAAGGCTGTTAATAAGAGCTGGCGGGGGGAGCAGAGATCACCCACAGCAACATTGAGCACGACCCCCAGCTTCTTTCAGTGGAAATAAAAGGATAATTGAAAAATTAACTTCCTAGCCATTCCATTCCCACCTACTAATTGCATGCAAACCTAGCAACTTGAAAGTCTAGTGACAGCCCTGACTCATTTGAAAGAAAGTATTGGAAGCATATAAGTATGAGTAATTCCTTTATTTAGCCAAAGTCCATCAGTAGGCGACCTTGTTTGAGCAAGTTATCTTGAAATTAGCCTCCCAGGCAGGCATTTTTAGGGGAGCTTGTATTTCACCCCTCCCCACAAACGCCTGCTCAATGGAGAACAGCATTCCTTTTCCATTGTTTTATTCGCATGGTAAGTGACCAATCGACAGTGTTGAAATAAAGTGTTGACAGACTAAACATGACTCATGGTAGTGCAAAAACTTGACCCTGAGTATTCTAAAGTCTGATTAAATCTTACTTTTGCCACTTTGTGATTGGCTAAGCTTGGGAAAGGAATGTTGTTCTCGGTTGAGCAGGCATTTCTAGGGAGGGCGAAATACAAGCTCTCCTAAAAACGCCTGCATGGGAGGCTTTCTTGAAATCTGCACATGTACATCTTTCCTTCTATTGACTAAAGACTGATCTACCAGTCTTTCTCTTATTCATTTCAGGCCCTGTTACATTTTTCCAAATATTGTGAGCCAGTAGTCTCTGGTGATGCTGAAATGACAGACAGTCGTAAACTATGGAGGAACATCGAGCCCCACCTGAAGAAGGCACTTCACACAGTTTATCTCAGAGAGGTGTCCAGTCACCAGTGGGAGTCGATTATAAGTCAAGATACACAGGACAACAATGAAAATCTAGGGGACCAGGGTAAGAACATTATGAGCGAACTACACTCATCAGTACACTGTTGTTTTGCTTATAAAACCAATGGTTTTTTCTTTTTTAAAAAATGTGCTTTTTGCCGTCACCATTGCTTTTGTTTAATCATTGTTATGTCCTCCATAAGACATCGCATTTGCTAATTTCACATTGTAGTCATGCAGTGACGGCGAAGAAATGTAAGAATTTAGAGGTACAGTTAATGATGTCTTCAACAAACTGCTAAAACCCTTCAAAGTGGCACAATCCGCTCTATTTTCTCGGCAGCGTGCAAAGAAGCTAGCGTCCGATAGCCCGGGGCAAGTGGATTTTGCTATCGGGCTAGTGAATTCTGTTCTTAACTTGCCCGACGAGCAAGTGAAGTATTTTTGAGGAATTCAAATTACAGAAGAACAGTGAAATCAATTCTGCTCATCAATAAATTTTGGGGGCTAGTTGAAATGACGTTTGGGCTGGTAAATGTTAGCTTCAGCTTGCCCAAATGGCAAGCTGTAAAAATGAATTTCTTTGCACCCTGCTCGGGGTAAGAAAATTCGCTGACGGTCTAATTGAAACAGCATTTTACTTCTCTGTTCTAGGTGTCTCAGTTCGTTCCCACATTGAACTTCCATTTTATACCAAGTATCTCCTGATTGCGGCTTATCTGGCGTCATACAACCCTGCTCACACAGACAGAAGGTTCTTCACAAAACAAGGAAGAAGAGGAATAAGCAACAGGGCAAAGGCTGCTGCCAAAGGAAAAAAGTCCAACACTCAACTTACAGGTACAACTGTATACATGGGCACCGCGTGAGATTTTGTAGATGTGCGCACAGGAAGAAAAGTTAGACCACCAAAGGAGCTCCAAACTAGGTGGGGCTGGGGGCATGCTTCCCCATAAATTGTCAAATTTTGGGGCTCGAAAATGCCATTTCCTGCTTTTTCCGCAGAAAAACAAAGGAAAATGCAATAGTTAGTTGTATATTTTACCCATCTCTTTTGTTATGGTAAAACAGCGGTCAACGCCAAAAAGGAAGTTACAAGCAAAGGGCGAGATAACCTGCATGACAGCCATCTCTCCTCATGTCCTTACTGGCGAGGAGTTGAGGAGAGTACGGCTGTATTCGCGGGATAAGGGCGAAACGTTTACCCTTCAGACGGGCAAAGACACAAGTAGATTTAGTAAATTTATCAGTCACCCCTATTTAACAATAAGAATGCTTTCCGGAAATAAAAAAAATGTACTTCTGTGACATATTTCAGTTATACGCAGGAGTGTGTGTGCGTTTATGGACGCTATATACGCTCCTGTAGTACAGATAAAGCGGTGGAAATCTGAAAAAAAATTCTCCATTTCTGATTGGCTCAAATCCTCTAGCTAATTCTTCATAACAAGCTAGCATTGGCCATATTTGGAAGGCGCTTTCGAGATCTGATAAAATGACGTCAATAGTACAGGATAAACACCATAAACGGGTGCGAGTTTTGGTAAAGCTAGAGGAAATGGCTTCCTTTTCAGTGAAGAAGAAATAGCCGTATTACTGCGTAAAAACTTAGAAAGACAACTACAACAAAAAACTACAACTCGACAGATTACTTTGCTGCTATTTGAAGAAAGTCGTTTAGGCTGAATTTCCTGAATTTGTCAAGGAAAAGGTTCCAGCTCTGTCACTAATTCCAGAAAACATTTTCGTCATTGCTCCTCTTATTGATCAACCATCATTATTTTTGTCGCCGTAGGTCCTAAGAATTTCCCGCTTGACCGTCTAATGGCTATATTCTACAGCATAGTGGAAGACAACGTTGCGCCTTCAGCAAGCATTCTGTGCCAGATTTCATCGCTGGTTTCACTAAATCTTCTAGCTCAAGTGACATCTGATGATCAGATTGACTGCCCCAAGTATAAATGCCTCGTCAATTTTCTCACCATCTCTGAGATCGCCAAGCAGTTGAAGTTTGATATTGTGCAGTATTTATATGACTTTGTTTAATTAAAAGATCCTTTGTTAATTAAGCTTTGGTGTTGGTTCCTGTTGTTGTCAATATAACACATCTCAAACTTGAATTTCGCCCCAGAAATGGCCCAATTTAAAACGCCAAAATTTCCAATTTTCACTGATTTTGTGAAATGATGGAGAGGTTTCATTTGAATGATATATAAATAGCACCATATGAAAGTACTGCTAAAGAGGTTTCATTTGAATGGTCACACCATAGGATTTCATCCACAGACTTAAAAGTTAGAACTACATACTAAATAAATAGTACCATGTGAAAGTACTGCTGAAGAGCTTTCATTTGAATGGTAACACCATACGGTTTCGTTCACAGAGTTAAAAGTTAGACCCAGCTTAACAGACGCCATCATTCGCTCTGCATTGTTTAAGTGAGAAGTAGACCTTGGCAAGGCCAAATGAGAAAAAAAATGAGAACAATGCAACATCCAGTGTCCAGGTTATAATCTCTTGGCTTTTTTGTTAGTGGGCGTCGGGCTTCGTAGTTTACGAGCAGCCTTCCTTTTTTCTTAGTCCGTCGAGCAAAACGCGCGAGAGAGGAAAAATGACCACGGCGTGACTGAAGGCTTGAGATCCCCTGCATGAATCGTCTGACCTTTGCAAGGTCTGTTCCGCAATAGGCCCTCACAAACATCTGCAGAAGTGAGGATACTTCCAGTACTTCTCCAAATTCCACTTCATACAGATCCAGAAGACTGTCCTCGTCTCTGTCGTCCTTGTATTGTTTGCACATACCTGTATAACTTATATAAGGGAGTACCCCCTCTGGGGTTGTGAGACCCACAGACAGGGTGCTTGGAAAGGCTGTCCACCAAAGGCATAAAGATCCTGGGGACGAGATATGGTGCCAAATTCGAGAAACAAAGCAAATATGGAGAAACACAAATTTTGACGTTCACGGCTATACTAATTTTTGGTCAGTAATTTTTGTGTGGGATAAATTAAAGGTCAATTATAAAGAACCTTATCACGTGACGTCACGTTCCAGACTAGTCCTGTTGGAAGCTTGTAACGTAATAAATTTGCATTGAGGCGGGTCACGTGGGTGAAGAAGCTCTATAAAGCAACTGAAAAGCTGCGCCTAACCAATCCCTAATATACCACTAACATGATATTGCGAGTCCAACTAATACAAGACTACATTCATGAAAATGATCTTTTGCAAGTGTAACCTTTGAATATAATGATACAGCATCGTTTTTTCGGATGGCGCTTTATAAGAGCTGCGTTAAAGTTATGGACAAGGAAAATTATAAAGAAAAGAAATTTTCCATGGTGTCCGATTGAAGCACGTGGAAACGTAAGGTAATTTGAAGGGACTGTTTCACGGCTGTCTATATTTGGTTGGGTTTATATTACCAGAAACGCGTCTTAATTTGCTAAAGTTAATGTTAGCAAGGAATTTACTTGTAACTGACAAGATTACAGCTTCTTGGAAAAAAAAAAAATCTCTCCAAAAGGATCATATGAAACTGTTGCAAACAAACAAGATGAACGTAATTTGCAAAACTCTTAGGCTAAAACGTTTTCTAAGACCGCAATTGCAATCCCTTTTAATTTTCTTAAAAAGTCTATCCATCCTTGCCTTCACTGTTTGAAATCTGATAAATTTTGTGAAAAAGCTCCTTTAATTTCAGTCTAATTTTGTTATCACTAAGGAAAAGAATAACCACATGCAGTTGCTGCACTGTACTACGCCAGGCTGCTGTCAAGTTAATGCTCTTAGAGCCGTACCTGCCATAATCGAAGTGTTACCATTGTTTTAATCATTGATTTTATGCGCTGCTTTACAGCGAGTGACCTGATCTCATCATGGGAGAGTACACCTCAAAACGTATCGACACACCACACTCATTTATAAATTAAACTATCTTTTATTTGCATATGCAGATTTACATTACATTTTGTCAGATATCTGAATGTTCTTTACCCTGCTGGCTTAGTATCTCAACACCACAAGTTAGGAGAAATGTTTCTGTTCATGGTTAAATCTTTATCAAGCAGCCTGAATTTTCCAAAACTGCCGAACATTTGAGTCCACTCCTTTAATTTTCAGCTTGCGGGGGAGGCATTTCTTCCACATAAATCCGGGACACTGAGTTCCAGCCTGTGTACGCATCAGCATTTCCATACCCTGCGCAGTTGCCAACCCAGAATCCCACGCGCACCTTGCCTTTGTGGATTTTATCGCAGACACCTTCGACGTGACGTGGGCGGAGCAAATTATCTTTTCTGCTGCCAGATCCTTTATACATATAGACTGTAGCATCAATAGCTGCAGGTGTCGAGCATTCTACACCATTAAAAGTGAAATACCATCGCCTGCAACAAGCGTCGCAGTTATAGATGCGGAGTTGGCCACTCCAGTAGACGCGCAGGCTTGTGCTGTCTGACCTCTTCTCGAAAACACAATCCTGTTGAAAAAAAAAAAAAAAAACAGAAACAACAATGACGGCGGTGTAAAGACGAAATTCTCTCTGCAGGGCCTCTGGACGAAATCTTGTGATGTTACAGTTTCAGGCTTCAGACAGCTACTGGACTGTACTTTCCGGTGGTTTTTTTTCTTAACCTGTAAAACGTGGTACTAACTTTTGAATCATTCAAATATCCAGTACCTCTTCAGCAGCACTAGACTCAGTTCATATGGTACCGTCTATTATGCTGTCAGCAGTACAAGGTTATTTAAAGCCCTGCATCTGTACAAACTCCTGTATTGTTACTAAGAAAATGAAGCTATGAATATGGCCATTAAAACGATGGCTCTTCAGCAGCACTGGGCTTTCATATGCTACTGTTTATTATGCTGCCAACAGCACCAAGGAAAGGTGGCGAGTTTTTTTAAGTTTCGTTTTGCATCTGTAAACAAATTCCTGTGGTTTTACATTCGAAACTTTAATCGCAACGTTTTTGGTTTCTGCAAAAAAATTTTTAACAAAAATTTAGAATTTTTCGTACAGTTTGACTGGGAAGCATGTTTTAAAGGACACAAACATATCAAAGTATTCTCTATAGAAGTACGAATGTCTGTGGTGGTGCCCTCTTAGCTTTCACCTTAATCAATCCAGTGTCCTTGCCGTCGGCCAGTTTAGGAAAAACGCACTGTTTCCAATTACGTACTAACGGTACCGGAACCCCCTTTGGACCTTCGGGACCTCGGGCGCCTGTATCACCCTTTCTTCCAGCTTTTCCCAAGGGTCCTTGTGGTCCTTTGGGGCCAACGGGGCCTTGAGCTCCAGGAGGACCTGCTTCACCTTTGTATCCACGTCTACCTTCGGGTCCTTGAGGTCCATTATCTCCACGTAGTCCCGCTCGTCCCGCGGGTCCCGGGATTCCAGGGATGCCGGGAATTCCAGCTGCACAACACGAAGTGTGTTTACAGGAGCCATTTTTTAGGATCTGCTTAGGGTTGCTCTAAATAAAACGAAGAAATAAAAAGAAAAATGCATCGGTTATTGTTTTTTGGAAGCACAGGACTTCGAACCCCGCATTCCTATTCGGTAACCTGATTAACATTTGCTTCCATTTGCGTCTATTTGTTTGTAATGCGTGTTCGTCGACGCCCTACCTGGAAACCAGCTTTTGTTGGGTGTGGTTAGCACATTGAAATAAATGTGTTTAGTATATACTAAAACAGTCGATAGTGTTTTTCGCGCGCTCGATCTGATTGCCTACTCAACCTCCGAATATCCAGTGCTTTCGTTGCTCAGTAATTACCACCACTAGCCACCTCCACTTCGGTGAATAATTGTTCTTTATTTATTTATTTATTTATTTATTATTATTTGTACGGACACCTAGCTCTATTACGGACAGTTTTCTTTGTTTCATGGTAATGCCTTTACTTTCTCTCTAAATTCAACCCACTTGATACGGACACACAGTAATAAGAAAAACGGACACTTGTTTCTTGCCCAATCAACAAACTCTCATAGAAAGGCAATCTTGCTGACGCGGGTACTTCATTATCAACTGCGTGCTGTAATAGACCTTTCTTTTTTTGAAAAGAAAACCCTTCAGTTGACAGCATTTCGATGTTCCTAGCGCTACAGTACCCCGGATAGGATGATATATATGTTGACGTCCATTTCACGACTACTTTGGCATCAAGTGAGTTATGCATTAATTTATAGCATGTGAGTGACTTTAATTAGAAAGTATTTGCCCTTCAGTGGTTGTATTAACGGGGTATGACTGTATTATCTTTTTCTCACATGTAACACTTTAATTTATTTCATGCACTTACTATAGGTAATTGCACGCAATTAACTTCCTGCCAATCACCACAAAAAAGAAGTCTGGAGTTCTTAAAATTTATTAATCAAACCACTCACCTCATCGTTACTGATTTCATCATTTGCGAAACACAAAGGGATCAGCAACAACAGCACTAAACATAACATTTTGGCCAATGGTCTCTCCATACAGAATACCAAGATCAAAAAACCTGTGAAATGATTGGTGTTGATTAAAAATACTTGAAACGAAACAAAACAGAAAGCAGATGAAAACGCTAAAACGATGAAATCACGATAGCATCCCTTACAGAGAATGCGTATTACTAGAAGAATTTGGTGTCTGACATCATCAAATTAAAAAACCTCCATTTTTGTCCGTCCACAAGTAAACGATAAGCCCGAGTTTTTTTTTTTTTTAATTAAACTCTACTCTGACCGGGGGCCGGTTACAAAACCCTGCGTTTTTGGTGCCCCAAAACTCCGTTTACGTGCTGACGTGAAAAGGGATTAAAATATCTCCGTTTTCAAATTACGGATACGCCGTGTGGACGGGTCCTTTTAGTGAGCTATCCCTTATAAACGTTTCACACCCATTTCTAAATAGAATAAAGATCTAAGAGGAGTCGTATTACAAATGAGCTTCATTTCAGATAAAATTTAGTGACTGAATTATCGGATTGTTTTCTAACTGTCCAAAAGGAATTACCAAACGTGATCTTAATACTTATATTTCCTTCTTCCGTCAAAGGAACGCGCGTT